AATAAAAATAGCTCTAAAACTTCTAGACATTTTGTCTAGATTGACAGATCTAAATTAACTAAACAAATATTATTATTTTGTAAAAATCAGATTAACTTTTATCTAAAAAACAGAAGTAATTTTTTCATAAATGTAGTAAACTTTAATGTTCATGCCAGACCACACAGGGAAAATTTCAAAACATATTCAAGTTTTAGTATTTGGTTATGTATTTGTCATTAAATGTTCTCATTATTTTTTCAGAAACATATTCACCATGGATGCTGCAGAAAATCTCTGCCATTATTTTAAGAAATTGATGACACTTAGTAATGAATACCGATATGCACATGAACACGGGGATGGAAGTATCACCAAGAAAGATGAATCAGAAGCCCAACAAAATCATTTGGCTCCTACAGACAGTGATAGCATACTGCAAAATAGAGCTCTCTCACCTTGTGCAAATGAATGTAAACCGGACTCACCAGATATTTCTGAGAAATGGATGAACTCTGGTTCTAGTCATTCTCCATTAACTAACCCCTCCTTATGTGAGGATATGGAAGGAAGAAATCAGGAAAAAATAGTTGACAACGAAAGAGAAAACAGCAAGGCAAGCAGCATCTCCACTGAAAGAATCCCATTGTTGGAAACAGTAATAACAAATTCTCTACTGAGGAATCATCTAAATATTAAACATTGTGAAAAAACGTAAGATTTATATCATTTTTTATAGTTGTATATATTTTTTATTTTTATATATAAGAATGTTACCAAATAAATGTTAAAAGATTTAAATTATTATTAAATTTCATATTCTCATATCTATGTTTTATGATGTGCACAAATTATTGATTATAGTACAGATTAATTTGAATTTTAACAATATTGTTTAATAGACTAGTATTGTTTAATTTACAATGAGTAAATATAAAATTATTTTTCTGCCTTTTAATCTCTAAATAATTTAAATGAATTTTAAGGAGAAATAAAACACTACATAATTCTCAAAATAATATGAAAAATACTTCTAAATAATCAGATAATTTTTATTTTTTAAAATATACCTTTCCATGTGCTATTTATTTGCCTATTGATCTAGAAAACATGTAATAAGCATCTATGCAAATATTTAATGTATGTGCTATAATTTTCTTTGATATAACAACTATGTAAGATGAGGCAATTTTTTTTGAGATTAATCACATAAGCCTTCTTCCAACCAGTAAACATTTTTAAAAAGGAAATGGTTGGCTTGCTTGCTTGCTTTATTTAATTTATCTATCTATCTATCTATCTATCTATCTATCTATCTATCTATCTATCATCATCTATCACCAGCAAAGATTGGTTTTTACTTTGGCCTATAAGCTTTTTCTTTTCTTTTTACTTTTGGCCTCAGTGTCAAGCCAACAAAATTTAAAATAGTCAAATTCAGCTTCTCCAATAACAGATGCTGAGCTGGGCAGCATACAGGATATCAAGTAGCTAATCTGCTTTTCCAAATTTTTATTCTTTCAATTGTGTGAATGGTGATTTTTTTTTCTGGGAGCTATATTTAAAAAGTTTGATATGCTGAAACTAACATGTATTTCCTAATGCAATTTAAAAAAATTACTGAAAAGGTCTTTAACATTTCCTGATTTATGTTTTACCAATTCGTTTAATTGATTGCTTTTGCTCTGTAGGGAGAAAAAAATATTTAGCTAGAACTCCTGTAACAAAAGATAGATTAATGAGAGAAACATACGAATTTACTTAATATAAGTTTTATGTGATATGAGAGCCTGCATGAAAATTGAAGATCCAAAGAAATAGTTAAACCTGAGCATTTTTATATTAAATTTGATGAAGAATGGAAGGTCTTGAAAAAATATAATATGACAAAGGATATGAGCTAAGAATAGTAACCTGGGAGGAATTTAGCACTGGCTCATTTATTCATATTTCTCTTGTCCTTAATCTTTAGATAAAAGTACTTTTTTTCCTCTGGGTATAGGGAGGGCCTTCTCTCACATGAGGGTCTTATGATCCTCTTCCCAGGAAAGTCGGAAAGCCTTACTGCATATTTTTTCCCCTCAAATTCCTTCAGATTAAAATATTCAATATACCAGGGTACCAAATTTCTGGGAGACTAAAGTTTTGCCACCCCAAAATATTCCTTTGGGATACTGACTTTAAGCTGGTTATTAAGGAATAAAAAGACTTGGAAAGAACTTCTGACCCTCTTGTTCAAAGTTCTCTCTGTGTCCCGTTGTTATAGATAGCCCAGCAAACATTTATTTACTAAACATTTCCTTTTCCATCTCCATGTGAATTGCCTTCCCGCCCTTTGAAGTCTCAAACCACATCCCTCCCCTTTCTCCTTTGCTCCAGATGGCATATAAACCTCCACTGCCCAATACTTCTTTGGGTCTCATATCTTATGTCACTGCTGAATGTACATCCGTAATAAACTTGGACATTTTCTCTCATTAATCTGTCTCTGTTAAATTTAATTATTAGCTTGGGTAAAAGAATTTAGAAGGTGGGAGGAAAATTATTTTTTGTGCCCTCACACATGTCCTGAATCCCATTAACTCTAAACACTCCAAACGTTGCCTACTGAAATTTCATATAAACAATATGTAGAACTTCTTAATCGATGGTAAACAAAATAGCCAAATGATAATAAGGAAGGATAAAGAACTGAAAACATTGACAAACCAAAGACCTAAAGAGTAAAGAGAAAATAAAACTTGCTGAAACTTGCCATTCAGTGATTCAGGAAGATTTACTGTCAGTTATATAGGTGTTTCTTAAGTGATTTACATGTGTTCTTATACTAAGGACATTTTTGTCATTGTGATTTTTGCTAAAAAATAGATGATAATAATGATGATGATGATGATGGTGATAGTAGTATTAGGAGTTGTTTTTCTCATCATGGAGAGTACCCTACATTCAGGAAGCCCTAAAGTTACCCTCTTTACCTGATTTCACTGCTTTTAACGTATTGAAAGTGGTCCAGTGTTAGTGTCACTGAGGAAAATATTCCTTATCTGCCTTCCTCCCCTCCTTTGGAATTTTCTTTTTGTTTTTTAGGTGAGGCAGCCCTTGATTGAACTCACAGATTGCAAGGACCTTGTTAGCTTACAGTCTCTTATTTTTTTTTATTTAAAAAAAAAATTTTTATGCCTAGAGCACCTGGTCTTCCTAGGTGGTCTCCCATCCAAGTACTAACCAGGCTTGACCTTGTTTAGCTCCTGAGATCAGACGGTATTGGGCTTGTTCGGGGTAGCATGGCCGTAGACTGGATATTTTGATGATATTGGGCTGAGGAATTCAAACATTCAATGACTAGTCAGCTTTAGAAAAAATTCACAGTTATAGTCAGTGAAACGTGTATGTATCTGTAGAGAGATATAAGATGCCATCTCAGGTTAAATGTGTTTTCTTTAAAGTCCCTCATTCTTTACCAGGTATACTTTGCAAGCATGTTTTCAGATTCTTGTTCTTTATCACTCAAAGTACCCAATATAGTGCTTTGAAATTTCCTCACTCATTTATGTTCAAAGGATAAAGGAATGAATTTATGATTGAATGACTGAATGTGAATTAAATCCGTAGCAAAACATACAAAGTTCACTCTAGTAGGAGGAAATGATTCGTTGGAACATGATGTTAAAAAACAAAATCGAACCAAGTAAATTTGAAAATCTTACTGGCTTTATTAAGAAATTTATGAATTGGATAGTATCCCAATTACAACTAGAAGGGCAGGGTGTTCCAAGGGGTTGTATAAAATGGAAGGTTTTTATAGAAAGAAGGGTGGGGCAAGGAAACTAGTAACAAAAAAAGTAAGGATCATTCCGCCTGGACATCTTTTCTTTGGGGGAAGAGAATGGGAAGGGTTTTTATCATGCAGATTGCTGCTTCTTTCTCTGGGGGATGGAGAGGACCCACATGGCAAATTACCTTACTGGTGACTTGACTGGAAAATTCCAGACTGGTTGGTCAAGATTATGTTTCTGGGAAATGCTGAAACTGCAGTTAGATCAGGTATTAAATCTCATTTTGGTATCATGAGTTTTTAGGAGAAGTGATGCCATTTGGGGCTGTGGTTTTCTCTTTAACAGTGATTATTTTTTCCAAGTATTAATAGTGCCAGTAGTTTATCTTATGCCAGAAGTTTTACCCATTAACTTCAATTTTCTATTTGTAGCAAAATAGATTGAAGACTTCTTTTTACAGGGTTCAGGTAAAATTCTACCGCTGCTGCAGTTGATGATAATGGTGAGGATAAGTAGTAATAAAATAATGCAAAATAATCAGAGAAAATAGTTACATCATTTCCTTCTAATTTTCTGCAAATATGTAACTATGAGGAAAAAAACATTTAGTCATGTCTAGCAGAGTTTATCACTTAATTCTACTTTGCCTTAAATTCACTATTACAAGGAAGAAAAAAATATTGTGTGTGGCAATTATAAAATTATTGAAAACTGTTTTAAGGGTGCACTGGAGAAAGAAACTATACAAGAATAATTTCTCCATCATATGTCTTTTAAAGTATACTGAAGAATTTGAAGAGAAATTAAGACGGAATAGTTAGCATTTTCACTATACTCAGTACCTTGATAACATTCCTACAATAATCTGTGTGGGAAAGGAAAATATATGTACTTAATAGAAGTTAAATAATTAAACACACTGAGAACCCACTTACAATTCAAATTTTGCTAATGTTGTTGGGCAGCCTAGGGGGATGTGGAAAAAGCACAACATGGATTGATTCAGTGCCTAAAATTGGCAAATATGTAGGCTGGGAAAATGTTAGAATTAACTCTAGGCCTTGTGTGGGCAGAGAGAAAAGTGAAGCTTGTAAAAGATCTGATGGTTCCCTCCTTTCTGAGTCTAACCTCTCTCCTGTGAACAGGATCCCATTCTCTCTTGCCAGCTCAACTTTGGCTCCTATATTTGTTTCCTCTCTTCTGCATCATTAATTTTGCCCTCTCTCATACTGGATTGACATTCTCAGTATCATACAAAATCTAAATAATATCTCCTTCCTTAAAAGAATCAAACAAAAATCTCTTGTACTCACATTTCTCCCTGAATTACTCGCCCATTTCTGTCCTACATAGTTAAAGGTTTCCATACTATCTTTACTTCTATGACTATAGTTAAGCAAAAGATGTGGTCTTATTTTTAAATAATACTTCATGCAATCCATGTTTACAAATGTGGCTCATGAGGACCTCTTATCTTCCACTGTATTTGTGAGCACTAAAAATTTTTTCTTCTCTTAATAGTGTGGCAGCGACAGTAATCCAGGCATACTGGCGTGGTTACATTGTACGCAGACAGATTCATTTGTCTACAAAGCTACATACTGCTGCAACAGGACCCCTGAGATCCTGGCCAAATTCCTACATCAAGAATCAAACTATTTTAAAGAAAGAAAATGGAGAAAATACTGTGAATATCCAAGAACAGAGGGAAAAGGCTGCTATTCTTATTCAGGTTAGTTTTACCTTTTGGTGAAATAGGCAAAAGAGATGTATTAGTCATCTTCCACTTTGTTATTCTGTATAATAGATAATCCCCCAATCTTAGTGTTTTACAAGGAATGAATTTATTTCTTACTCATGTGACATGTAAGCTATAAGTTGGCTGTTCCTCTGCTTAGTATTTAGGCTGAAGGATTAGTCTGTAATTTGAAGATACTATTCTCATGACTAAGGGCCAAGATGAACCACGTAATCATATTTAAAGCCTCTGCTCACATGTATCAGTTGTCACATATGTTAACATTTAATTAGTCAAAGCATGTTTCACTTGGCCTAATCTATAGAGCTGTTTTTAGAAGCATATTTTAAAATATACTAAAATAATTGTTGAATTCCTTCAAATACACATTTAACTTAAAAATTCAGAAAGCAAGTAGTGAATAGACTTGATTCAACCTCACCAATGCCAGATTTCAAATTGAAATTCAACCTGATCACATTTATCCTTTTTTTATTCATTCATCAAATAGTTTTTAGAACCTACTATTTGTTAAGCGCTGTTCTAAGCTCAGGAAACATAATTATGAACAAAAAATACAAGATCTTAGTCCTTGTGGAGTTTACGTTCTGGTCGAAGAGGCAGACATAAACTAAATAAATACATCAAATAAGTTCTGTGGAAATCCATGGTTCTAAATTAAATGATAATAACTAAACAAAAATCAAGTGCTTCCCTTTACTCATTCAGCAATTTTTTTTTTGGCATAAAAGTCTTATTAGCTTACATTCTGTTAAGATATACAATTAATAAATAACTATGCTAGATAATGATAATACTAAGGGAAAAATATAAAAGCAAGAAAAGTGGGATAGGAGTATCAAAGGAAAGTTTATCATTTAAATAGGATGGATATGGAATACCAGAAAAGGTGATATTGCAATGAGAGATTAAGCCATTGGATATCTGGGGAAAGTTTATTTCAGGCAGAAGAATGCCAGATTCAAAGACACAGATTTAGGAGCATGATACAATTTTTAAAGAATAGTAAGAAACCAGTGTGACTGAAAAGTGGTAAAGGGGAGAAGAGTAAGACTTATAAATCTTAAGTTACTATAATGATTTTGGCTTTTACTCTTAGTGACATGGGTAGCTATTTCAGGAATCTGAGCAGTGGACTTACATGATCAAGTTTACTTTATGTTGTGATTATACTGTAGGAAGGCAGGAATAGAAGCAGCAAAATCAATTAGGAGGCTATTACAGTAATCGAAACAAGAGATAATGGCAGCACGAACCAGAGTGTTGCAGTAGAAGTAATAAGAAATCACATTCCAGGATATATGTTGACTTATCTTGATGGTATGCATGTATATACTTAGAAGGTAGAGACAGCATTATCAGTTCATGGGAATGGTATATGAGAGATATGGAGGAATCTGGGATGACTCCAAGGTATTGGCCTAAGCAACTGGAAGAATAGCCTTAAAATTAAGTTGCTGACTTTTGTTATTAAAGTGAAAGTTTTCAAGAAAATTATCTTTGCTGTGGTTCTCATGAATATATTCAGTATTTCGGTTGACTTAATTTGTCTGGACTGTACTCCCAAGGGCAGTGTGTAGACGAAGCTCTTACTAATACCTGAATGCCTGTGGGAATGGGGCGGGGAGGGAAATGGATTCAAGGAACTTCTGAGATAAAAAAAGAAACCTCAGTTATTATCTCAAAATATTATTCTGCTACATGAGGAATGAATATTTCATACAGTCTAAATTCTCTTTTGTCATCAATTGATGAGCAATACACTTTTTAGCCATCAATAGTAAATGAATATAGAACTTTTGCTTTACTTCATTCAATAAAGAGAAATTCATTACTTTATGAAAAGGCTAGTTCAGTGACTGATACCTCTGTTTAATGTTCTTTTGAACATTTCGAACTTCTTTATATCTGCAGCAAAAGCAAGCATAATTTAGCCTTTCTTCACAACTTAAAACAAAGCTCTTTTGTGTTACATCATGGTACTTAAAATCATCAGTCGGGTCAACTTCATTTTCTCTTTTCCTGAGTACAATCATCTAGTTTTTTAAACTATTCATCTTAAAACATGAATTCTAGACTGCCTAACCATCTTGGAGAACAGAGCATGATATAGTAGAAACAGCCTGGGATTTAGAACAAACTGACGATCTTATAAACGATGTGGTGATACTGCTCTCCCCAAACTCACATTTTCCTCTTCTTAACATACAGCCAGCTTCCGTTGCACTTTAGCATGGCCTTTCTTCTGAATTCCAGTCAACAGAACATGAGTGAAAGCTATGTGAACCACTTTCATATCTAGCCCAGAAAACTTCCCACAGACATTACTCTATTCTCTTCCCTTTCTGTTTGGCTGAAATGAAGACAGCCAAAGTTTTATGCCTTCTGAATTTTGACAAATGCATTTCTATGGCATCACTTAATATGTTTTTCATCCTCTTGTTTTATGTAAACTGACAGTAAGATCTAACAGATATGATTTGGCTTTGGTTTTTTAATTGAGAATACTTTGTAGGTGTTGATTCGCATGAGAAGAGACACATGTCTGGTTGCCTCTCTTTTAGGAATGTTAGTGGCCATTGGTAAACACTGCCTAGATCAGTTCTCTTTAATGATTTGCAAAATGTCTATATATATATACTATATATATATTTCTTCATTTATTAACTAAAATATGTCTATAAAGAGAAACTTTGTCTAATCAACTAGTTATTCTTGGGCACAGTTTACATTGGAAAGGCAGATGAAATGCTTGATGCTGTCCCTTTATTTACCAGTTTGTAGATTAATGAGTTTTGCTAGCATCCTCCAGAGGTCACCATGTGTTCTGTCATAATGTACACATAAGTTTTTTAAATATATGATATATTTAATTCCATTGCAGTTATAATTCTTTTTGATGCTCAGATTGCCCCTTACTTAGTCAATGGTAGTCTCTTCAAGTTAACTTTTTAAATACAGTTCAGTAGTCTTTGAAACTTTCCTTGCTTTCTAATGTGATATCATGTTCCAGATTCATTTTATATATATTTTGCCTCAGGCCTGGATTCAGTCATTGCTCCAAATATTCTTGATTCCGTAGTTGAAATAATATTTAAAGACTGCAATCTGGATTTTAGCAGAGCTTTAGAATTTTAGGAGCGTTTGTTGCTACTTGTATGGTCATTGTTTTCAGATTCTTTTCAATATACTGATCTTAATATATTTTTTTTTAAGAAAAGCAAATATACCATGGGTTTATGCTAATATTTTTTAATTAAAAATAGGACTGTAGAATTTTTACTGATTTTATATTTGCATCTTTCCCCCTACCCATGGAAAGTCCATGTTCCTAATGACGTTAGCATAACTGCTCTTTTTCTTCTCTCTCACTCCCCCTCCCATATATATGTGTGTGTGTATATGTATGTTCGTATGTGTGTTACATGCACATACATAATGGAAATAAACAAGGACCATACAAATGTGAAGAAAACAGGCTATTTATTCAGGGTGTGCTGTAATAGTGGAGGCAGCCAGCATCGCTTGCCTTTGGCATAGACTCAAAAGAAGTGAAGCAAGTGGGAAACTGTTATGGTGGGGAAAAAAATAAGAGAAGGCTTTAAATATGCTCTAATTGAAGGTCGATGGCATAGAGAAGATGGAAGGCAAGCAACTGGAACTGGGATGTCTTATGTGATTGGCTTGGAAAGCATATTCAGCTTTTTCTGGTTGGTTAGAACTAGGGACAAAAAAAATGGGAAAGCTGGCAGTCTTTGACCAGATCTTGGACATTCTTGGCGAATTGTTGCAGAGTTTGTGGTTTGGCTTCCTGGGCTGGTTGCTGCAGGGGCTGTGGGTGACTTCTATTGTCATATATGGTCTGTCCATATTCTGTTTGTATATTCTACTTCTCGATATATATTTCAGATTAACAATATCAACAATATTACTAACGTTATGACTACTGAAAACATATTTAAGGTATATTTTATAGTTAAATTTGTCTTTTGTATATCTCACTAGGGATATAGTCAAATAAATCTATTTTAAAGTCACTTTAAATAACTTCTGTATGGTTATGCCCACAGCATAAAACATATTTTTATATTTTTTCAGGAATTTATTTTTTTATAATTATTTATTTTACAGTTATCTTAAGCATGTGCACAGTTCCAAAGTCAAACTAAGCAAAATATAGTCGGAGAAGTCTGGCTTCTATTGCTGTAACTTCTACCCTGTTTGCTGCCTCTATAGTTAATGTTTTTATAACTAATTTTTGAGTTATACTTTTACTTTTTAAATACTAGAAACCACATATACATACATATTTAGAAATGTTTATATAATGTATATATTAAATATTTATATCTAATCTTTTATAGATAAATGATAACATGCATTTATCTATGAAAGAAAATTTAAATAGGAAGAGAAAAACATCCCACTCTTTCTACCTTGCTTTTTTCACTTAATATATCCTGGAACTCACTCCCTAG